CCTCCAGCAGCAGCAGCAGCAGCAGCAGCACCTGCCGTTTGCCACATTTTCAGCGGTACGCAAGCAAGCGGCAAGCGGGAAGAGGCGACCAGCTTCACCACCGGTGCCGCCAATACAAATGTGGTTGGCATTGCTGCACGACACTCTGTCATTTCTCATCGAATCGCCGATTTGTGGCGCCACAGCAAGCCAATCCCCAAAACCTTGGCCGAAGACCAAGTCGCAGCTCTAGCTACTATTTATACACGCCAGCTCCTGCTGATGCTGCTTCTGCCGCTTCTGTTTAGAAGATGATGCTACCACCACAACAAGAACAATAATAATAACAACAACTACCAACTGGTAGCATCTGAGCGGCCACAAATGTCATAGCATATTTGCTTTGGTGTCACTTGCCTTTGAGTGTTGGTGGAAAATTAATCGGGAGACTCAGAATGGATGGCAGCTACTTAAATGCCCAGATAATAGCATGTTACGATTGAAGTGATTTGTACGGATTTAGATGAGGGTTTTCAAGGTGCGGACGGTAAGAGAGAAGAGAGGTGAAAAGCTGATACTTCGCTGGAGCAAGTCTTCACCAACATGGTTTAGTATACTGCTTTCGACGTATTCATTGGTCTACTCTTGATGCCTCGCAGTTATACCTTGGAGTAGGAAGTTTGATCTCCGGAAGCTGTTCTCCTTGTAGGTCCTCGGGAGTGTTCGTTAGACTGGAGAAAAAGCAGCGGCCGCTCAAATGTAAATGTCACCAACATCATCTGCGCTAAGGAAGAGCCTTAATTGTTACTTACCCCTAAGACAACAAAGGTTAAAAATAAAGGGTATTACTAGAACAGCATAAAAAGGTACAGGAAAGTTTCTACTCATGGCCAAATAAATAAGTTGTCGAACACCAGAGGAAAACAGACCGAGGCGAGCAGGGATTCAAAGTGGGAAAATTAAAGGCAGGAAATAGATCTAAAAATGATTAAACGGCAGACAATTGGGTTCTTTTAAGCAATCCTTGGTACCAAATCTTCATAAGTACAAACTTCATTTTAAGCTCTCGATTCGAGTTAAGAATTGGCAATCCTTTTCAAAGAGAAAAACCCCTTTTCCGGAGAACTTTACGCTTAATAAACAAATACTTCACCTATTTGGACTAGAAATGCAAACAACTTCAGCGAGCTAGCATTGTGAACCCACGAGGGACTTTGACTTTCCGAGTGAAAGGAACAAACAACAACAACACTCAGCAACTTAGAACTGCACTCCACTTAATTAGCCGCGGTCAATACCATTGTGCCAGAAAGATGAGTAAATAATAAACAGTAATTAAATATTGGTTCAGCAAAAAGCGAGCATAAAAGGCGAGTTCCTCTGCCACCTCAGATTAGTGAAATTGTAAAAATAATAAATAAAAAATAGTGAAAGATAAGCAGAGATTGCTGTTTTAGCACTTTAAGAATTACGGTAAACAAAATAGAAACCAAAAAAAAAGCCACACCAACAAAAGCAGATGAGGCTGCCCAGAAACGCCTTGCCAACTGAAGCCATTTGCTAAAAATGAAATAGCAAATATTTGCTAAAATCTATTGAAATGTAAAAAATATATTATGCTTAGCTTTAGCAGAAGAAACCAGCTTTGCTGCAGCGGCTGTGGGTGTTTTACGGCAAGTTTGGAAAAAAGTTGAAAAGAAAGTCGTCATTAATGCAACAGAATTTGGTACAATGCAATTCATACTCGTATATGTATGTACATACATACACATGCAAAGCAAGATAGATGAATGGGGAAATGCAAGAATGGGCATTTAGATAAATCAAGAGTCATTAAAATTCATTAAAATTATGGAATGATAACAAAGTAAGCGCTACTGCTGAGCGAGAGAGCGATGCCTTGGCAAGCGCAAGGTGTCCACAGCGAGTGGTGAGCGAAAAGAAGGAAGTGGCATGTGGCACTAAGTATGTCAAGTATGTGCGTTGGATAAATTTTGGTTTAAGAAAAAGAAAGATATAAGAAGAGCTTAGCTGAAGATAAGGAAGGTGTTTTGATTCCTGAGATATTTGAGAAACATGAAAACGATGCTTTTCAGCAGGATTTCAAAACCATTTCAGTTTATTTTTTTTTTTTTTGTTTTTTTGAATTTTGGATTTGTTTAATTTATTTTATATGATTTTCTTTGCTTTAATTTTATTAAATTTTTTTATTTTATTTCATTTTATTTTGTTTTTTTTTCTATTTGATTTGATTTCATTATTATATATTTTACTTTGTTTTTTAAAACTTATTCAATTTAATTTGATTTTGGTTTGATTCGTTTTATTTCATTTAAAATCATTTTATTTTATTTTATTTTGTTGTATTTTATTTTATTTTATTTTATTTTATTTTATTTTATTTTATTTTATTTTATTTTATTTTATTTTATTTTATTTTATTTTATTTAATTTTAATTTATTTTATTTTATTTTTTTATTTACTTCAACTGTATTTCTGCTTAAATGATTTATTTTAATTATATTTTTATTATTACTTTTATATCGATTTCTTCAAACAAGCAATAAACAAACTAGAATGCCATAAATTCTAGAAATAGAAATATGTCAAAGCATTTTTGCTGTCTGAGCCGCACATTTGGCCAATATAATATCATAAGATGTGTCCGCTTCTGACTCTTACACTTTTTAGTTCGCCAATATTTTTATTATTAATGTCTGCATTATCATTTTCATAAATTGTTATATTAATATTGTTTTCTTTTCAACAGCTGTCCACTTTCCACAATAAGCGCGTGCTAAAAATCTCAATTCTCCAAGCAATTCACACGCTGCTCCTCAAATCACTCGCACGAAAATTCGAAATTTAATGCAGAAACCGGCGTCACTGCGTGCGGGGTGGCACTTGTGGTGGCGATTTGTGGCAGAAGAAGTACAAACAGCGCAGCGAATGAGTGAAAGAATTTAGCTTGATGAAAAATGTCATCAAATGAATGGTGACAAGAAATTCTTTAATGTTATTAACAGCTCTTTTTGGCAAATCACGCAAAAAGTTGTCATTAGAAAAAGCAATTAGTGAGTTGGCGAATTTGGGAAGAGAGGTCGAATTATAGGTCGAGAGGGAGAGGGGAGATGGGCAACGAGATCGTGGAAAATATACAAAAAATTTAAGATGAAATGAATTCTTCAAAGGCGTTGAGCACGATTTCTCGAGCTTGTGGAAAGATGGTTGGTACTGATTGATTGCCCCAAAGTTTATTTCAGCAGGAAAGTAACGTTTTGCTTATTGAATGATGTATTATTATCTCTCTGGTGGCCACGTCTAACGAATCATGCACTCTCTGGACCCAAGATCTTCAAGCATTGTAGCAGAGGTCTGGCATACATACAAATACCGGTGTGTGATCCTCAGATGGCTTTTGACTAAATCGTAATAGAGCAAGGCAAGAGTGGTATCCAACTGTGCAGGCATCATACGACTTTTGTCTAGATCTGACTATGAAGATGTGAAGCTCTTCAGATTATGATAAGAGCTGATTGCCCATATGGATCTATTTCAGGTTTCCGCAATACCGCAAGACAAACTCTGAGAATCACCAAATTTGTTAAATGAGACTGTGGTTAAATGTTGGTAGTGATTTTAACCATCGTGACTAAAAGCTTCGACCTCTGAACATTTTAAAAGACGTGCGAATGGAATGTCTGTGGAAGCCACAGCTATTTCCGTAGGCAAATGTTACAAGCAACAACAGCCACCAATATATGGGCATCGGCTCACCGTTACCAAAGCATTTATAACTAAATTACAGCGAAACATGCGCCGTCTCCACTCAACTCAACTCAACTCTACACCAGACTGTTAACGCAGCAACCAGTTCACTTAACATTTTGTGCTCTCCAAACGCTCGCTACCTGCTGTGTGCATTGCTATCAAGCTGGTGGTGTTGGTGAAATTGGTGGCTTTGGTGGAGGACGTCAAAGAGTAACCTTGATCTTGTCAGCGGCGCTCGCACAGTCAAGATGTCTTCAGTGCACGAAGGTGAGTGCAGTTCAGTGAGTTCAGTGCGCAGTGGCGTTGCGGTTCAAGTTCAATGCTGCGAGAGCACCGAGTTGGAGAGAGAGATTAATTTAAGTGGTGAGAGACAAATATATGAAACGGAATAGACTCGCAGTGAGCAAGCAAGAGGCAGCGCTCACTCAACTCGCTCAGCTACTCAGCTACTCAGTTGCTCCAAGTCTCCAACTCATTTCTTATTCTGTTGTTGTGGTCTTCTCAGCCGCTTTCTATTGCCACTAAGCTCCAACTCTGTATTAGATATGAACCTCTTGCGCCTTCTCAGGCATTCTTTTCATGCCAAAAGCGTCATATAATCTCTCCGCTAGCATCTAACTCTACATGACTCTACAGAGTTGGGTTTCTGCCCGATATCGGTAAGCTAAAGCTCTTTCTTCGTTCATTGCATGTAATCTTCTCACTTCATAAATATGTGTGCATGTGTGTGTGTATGCCAGCTGCCTGGCATCTCGCTGCAATCTGCTTCCGCTTGCGACTTTCTTCTCGCAAACAAAAGTGTGGCTCTCAACTCACCGCTTAACGTGGTTGAGCTTGGCCCATTCTTTTCTGCTTGCTGCCATTCTTTTAGAGCTGCTGACAATGGCTCTGCTGCTTTTACCAATATAGCTCTGTTTGCTTTCTCCGGCGTTGTCAGCAGAGCGCAAAGAAAAGCATTCCTCCAATGTTTTGTTTTCTTCGGCTCTCAGCTCCATACATTCTTTCTCGTGTGGTTGTTGTTTTTTCATTACGCTGAGCTTATTTTTTGCCTGCTTTCTCTGCTTTACATTATGGGGCCAACTCGCTCGCCGCTGCTGCTGCTGCTGCTGGGTGGCTCTGCTGGCGCTGAATTTGCTAGCTGCTCTGTGCCGTGGTCCCAACATCATCGCTTTGAGTTTTCTTGGAGACCTCTGAAGAAGGCATAAAAGAGGCAAATTTACAGGTTCAAAGTCATTGCCCATGATGCAATTGATGTGGTAACAACGTTCGCTGGAAAAACCGTACGCTGCAAAGTCCGCACGCACACACACACACACGCATACATACAAACAGTGCTTCTTTGCTCTTGAGGTGAAGAGGAAAGAATAGAATTGTGAAAGAAAACTCTTGAAGTGGCAGTGAAAAAACGAAATTCGGAAAAAGCCTCCTGCTGAGTGTTCGAAATCAATGAAAAAACAGAAACTAAAAAATTCAAATACTCAAATATTCGTGGATTTTTGGTGTGAAATCGTCGCGTAATTTTTTGTGGCGAATTTGGATGTAAACTGAAATTATTCCCTTACTTTGTGCTGAGACTCCTTTCTTGAGTTTTTTTTTTTGAAAATATATACAAATATATGGAAATATATTTCTAAAATATACGAAAAAATATAAAAAAATTGTGAAATAAAAATAAGAAAGTTGAGAAAGAAGAAGAATAAACACAAACGGGCAATAAAATACTCAACAAATAAAAAGTATTAACTGCAACAAGTGCAACAACTTCTAACTTGAAAGAAATAAAAAGATTTCACTAGAAGAATAAATAACCCAAAAACATAAAACACAAAAGCAAACTTAAAAAGAAGACGTAGCAGATCAAAGTGTGGAAATCGGAGATTTTAAACCTAAAAATTGTAAAAATACAAACATCCGCCATCAACTGGATATCTGCCCATTTTGGATACACCAAGTAATCCTGCGATTTATCCGATTCATCCTAAAAGTGTTTAAAGGTATGTTAAAAGTCAAACTAAATATATAAATATAAAGAAATTGGAGACATTCTAAGATTTTAAGCGAAGACACGAAATAACACAAGCTAAGGTATTGGACGTATTTTATACCCTTTTGATGTCCAGAATAGCGAATGGAAAGACAATAAAAATTAAGCATTTTGTCATATTAAGAAATGCGAGTCAAATTAAAAAAAAAATTACAGTAAAAAATTCAAGGAATAAATTAATTATAAATGGTGAAATAAATAGCAAGAAAGTTCAGTGCGAGTATAATAATAATATTGAAAATAAAAAATAAAAAAATGAAATGAAAAAGGTAAATTAAATTATAATGAGTAAACTAAAATAAATAAAATGAATTGAAACAAAAATTTTTAAAATAAAATAATATTAAAAAAATGAATAAAATTTAAAAAAAAATAAAACAAAAAAAAACATAAATAAAAAAATGTAAAACTAAAATAATTCAAAAAATTAATTTTAATTAAATAAATGCAATAATATTAACAAATATGATGAAAACAGCCAAATGAATTAATTAAATAAATAAAAAAATAACACAAAATAAAAATGAATAAAGTAAAATAAAATATCATACACGAAAATATAAAACCGAAATAAAATTAAATAAAATAAATTAAATAAAACTAACGTAAAAATAAAATCAAATAAAAATAAAAAAATAAAAAATAAAATCGATCAAAAAAAAAAAAAAAAAAATTGCGATAAAAAAATATGTATAAAAATTAAAAATAATATGAAAAGAAGCAAATTAAAATAAATTTAGATGCTTTTTCAGGTGATTGTACCGTTGAATTGTTTTTGGTTTTAAGTTTGTTGGAACCGTCTCAGATCATATATTTTTTGGTTTATTAAAATATAAGATCATACAGGGTAAAAATACATTTTTTTTCAAAAAATTACAAGAATTGAAAATTATTTTGAAGCAAGTGAAAATGATTGACCAGGCCAAAAACCAAAACTAAAATTTTGTAATTCATTTGAAATAAGAGTTTCTATTAGTGCGATCGCTCCTCGTCAGGGAACGTCAGGAACTCCGAGTGTATTTCTGATATGAAATAAAATCTCCTCATAAAAATCTATCAGTCGTTCGGAGGTGACTTAATATAAACTCTAGATCCCTCCGTTTGATGGGAAAAACAGCAAGACGCACAACAGAAATCGGAGCTTCCTCCTCGCGTTTGTATAAAGCTAAATTGTTTTATATATATGTGCATGTTTATACATATATATTGCAAATATATACATATATAATCGTGTTCTTTTCTTTTGTAATTGTAGCTTCCTTCTGTATGTAGTTGTAAACATAATTAAAATTACCATTAGAATATACAATGTACTTTTATACAAATATATATACACACAAATATAAATGCCTGCATACAATGTAAATACAATGTATTTATATAAATGAAGGCATTATACTGAAATTAGTCAGGGCAATGCGAAGATTTTATTTCTAAAGAATTTTTCCGCGAAATTATTAACTCTTTTCTGCCTTTGAAATGAGGGGAACATAACAGTAGAGAACAGGCAAATAGGAAGCAAGCAAATAGTTCAAGATGAAATTAAAAACATTCGTAATATTTCTCAAAGAAATATTGGGATAACTGTTAACTATACTTTTATTTAACATAAAATAATTGTAAAAGTGAACCAAAAAATAGTTTATGAATCTATCGAATACTTAGCCAATTAAATTTGTTTGCATTACATCTATAAAAGAAATGACTTACCATTGAAATAAATATATATTTTTTTAATTTACAAATTTATTTTTAAATAAAAAACTCTATATGAAATAATTCAGCTAATAATAATTAGTAAAAAAAATATATTATACTAATTTTATAAAATGATTCTTTAAAATAAGGAGAAAAAGGTTTAAAATAAGTCACATTTATAAACATTTTTAATGCATTCGTTTTGTAAAATAATTAAATTTATATTAATTCTCATCCCACTTGCCCTTCACCAATTACCAAAGCCTTCGCGTAGCGGAATCCAAGAAATTAACAAACCCTTTTCAAGCAAACGCCGCCACCGACAATTAAGTAAATTTATTGTGCGTCACTTGAGATGCACTGCACAGCATTAAACGTTGCTTTGGAAAGCAAAAGCAACAGGAAAATGTGTTGAGGGTAGCAGTTGTAGAGATGGGAAGAAGCGTGTTAGAAATAATAATGTTATAAATTATAAATACAACAATAATGTTAACAACACTTGTATGCGCTTACGACTTGGGAAATTTAATCAATCCACGTGCATATATACATTTAAAAGCATAACAAAAATATAACTCGCTTATGCATCACTCAGGCAGGCCGGGCAAGTTCGTTGCTTAAGTCTTTTGTTCTGCTTTGTTTAATTTGTTGATTTCTTTCTTGTACAATTAATATTTATGCGGCTTTCTGATTTTTCTCTAAATGCATGTGCAATTAATCAATGTAATAGAGAGGTTATGTGAATATATATATGTATGTGTGTGTGTTTTTTAAATGCTTGTAACTTAATTAGTGAAGGGAAAAGCGTTTGTGTAGTAGTTCCAATAGCACTTACCAATACATGTACATTTGAAAAGCACACAAACGCTCATATGGAAGACACACAGTAACAAACATGCCCACAGATATACATATAGACCCTTCCGAGCACTTAAATGTGCAGGCAACAACGGAATTCGTGCCTCAGCTGTCGATTACGTCAATTATTCTAGTCAAAATCTAGTCTATGCCCAAAATTTAATTATGAAATTCTAATATTTCTTTACTATTTTCTCGACTGTGTTATAAAAGAAGTGGAAAGAAGTAAAAGCGAAAATAAAATAAAAAGTTCAAAATAAGTTTGTCGCTTGGCACATTGACGGTGCGTGTACGAGTATAAATGACGAAAAAGTGACAGAAATGTCGCTAAAAATATTCTCAACTAACACGCAAGCACTGACACATATACGTGTACATTGACATATATGTATATAGGTAGATAAATATATACTACACATAAAATTATATACGCACGCTTACGAAATGTTAACTGTCGCACTCAACACCAGCCAACCTGTTGATAGTCAACTTTTCAAGCGCCTTTTCCACGGAACTCACACACACAAGCTCAGACACAAGCATGGCCGTTGGTTAATTAGGAGAAAGGAAAAAATAAAAAAACTGTTGTAAAAAGAAAATTCTTCTTTTATATGGACGTATGTATAGGTATATAGGCGTATGTCTGAGATTTTTTCTTGTTTTGTATTTGCTGTAAAAAAAAAAAAAACTGGAAATCACTTGCTGCTGCACCGCAAACACAACGGTGCTTTTTAGTAGCATTTTTATGACATTTTTTCTTTTTCGTTTGTGTGTGTACGAGTATGTGTTTCATGGTATAATTTTTTAGAAAGACTCCTTACATTGTGTTTCTTACAGAACGCATTAGAGACATACTTATATACGAGTCTATACACTTGTGTTTTCTTTTGTTCGTTCTTCTGTTTTTCTGCAATAACTTAAATTTATTCACTCAAAAAAATATTTGGCAAGCAAAAATGTAATTTTCTACGGAAATCGCTGGATTTCTTTGAAAAATTTTTTCTTAATTAATTTTTTTTCTTGTTATAATTTTCTTGTATTAATCCAAAATTAAAGCTATTAAATTAAACTTAATAAAATTAAAATAAAATATTAAAAAAAATTGGAAAACAAAAAATTTTTAAGAAGAATATAAAATCGAATATCTTAGCATTAAACATTAATTTTAATTACATTTGTAGTCGTTAATCATTATTCTTAATTCTGAAAAAGTTTAAAAAAAATAAGTTAAAATAAAAATGAATAAAAAAAATTTTCAATTCCTAATAACTTTTAAAATTTCCAACAGAATAAAGTTTTTTAACTGATATTTTTGAAATTGAAAAAATAATATTTATATCAATTCTTTTTTATTTAAATTAAGTCCAGCAATAGTTCTCTAAGCTGAACAAGAAAGCAATTCTGTTAATTAAGTAAACAAAACATAACATTTTGGAACCCTTTTCACCTGGAAAACCTTAAATTTTTACTATAATTTTTACCTTTCAGATGATAAAGCTATTTTTCTTATTTTCCTCTTTGATTCGCTTTATACATTACCTTTGTGTGTGTGTGTGTGCACGTGTAAAATTCATGGCACACTAAACTAGTATCAAATTGAGTCAACTAAAATATTTAGTCAACTGTATAAGTGAGCGCAGTTAATTATTCTGCCAGCTGGCTGACCTGCTGGGCAAGAGAAAATTTCTCTTATAAGTTTTCTGGCAGCGCAAAGTATTAAACACTTGGGGAAATGCGGCATACAACGCATTTCATGTTGTTGTTGTTTTTTGCGGTGGTAAGAGTCGCTGCAATTTGTCCGGGCTTGCTTTTTTTAATAAGAAAAATCATTGTTGTTGTAAACAATCAATTTTTGCTGTAAAAAATTCATTGTTGTTGTGAAAAAGCTTTTTTGTATCAAAGTAGGATATATGCTTTTGCAGTTGAAATGTTTTTGTTGTTTTTTTTTTTTGTTGCGGTTTTTTCAGCCATTTATTCTATTATTAATTTCTCCACATTTTTTCCGTTTTTTGTTTCTAATCATTTTTTTGATTTATTTCTTTTAATTTTTTTATATGAAAGCGCATTTCAATTATGTGTGTTTTATCTAATCCTGTTTGTTGTTGTTGGTGACATATGAATACTCAGCCGTCAGCGCGCTCGCCTTAGCCGCTTACTATATTAGGTGACTATTTAACGCCGCTAACGGTTCAGAGCTTAAATGACTTTTGGGAATTGACAAAAACATGCAACGAAGACAAAGAATGAAAAGGGAAAAAAGAAGAAGACACAGTGTCTGCAAACTTATACTTAGCACACACACATACATGCACACACACACACTCAGGCATTCTGACAATTGTAATTAAGCCACATAAGCAGTTAAAAAATAAATAAATAAACACACATTCATTA